TCCTCAACCACCGTCACACGGAAGTTTTGTGTTTGCATCATTTCCTTCAGCAGGGGTCCGTGAGCTTTGCTTTTACACCCTAAACACAAGATTATTATCATTTGAAGAAATATAGTGGCTGTATATAGTTACAGTGGCATACATGGGCACATTTTCCTTCCGTCATGACCAAAACGTAATATTTCCATTTTCGTGTGCTTACCAATCGTAGTTTCACAGAATTTCTCATCAGCAACCTCATTGGCCAGATTGGCTCCCATCAGCACGGTCATGGTGATGCCAAGTTTTTCCCTAATGACATCAGAGATCAGTTTCAGTCCGTCAGGACCCTCATCCACACCCTGACGAAACAAACAAAGTGGTATAACAGTGCTGCAGGTCCAGATACAAACTGAAACATAACTACATAAAATAAAAAAAATGCATGAGGAAACCTTAATGAGGGACATTCCCACAGCGTCCGTCTTGATGTGACCCTTGATGGTGTCACAGATTCGGGACACAAATTGGTGAGGGATGACGAAAATGAGAATATCTGCACCCTTTACCGCATCCAACAGATCTGGAACCGCCACCTAAAGAAAAACAGCCATTTATCACTGGATTTATTACACTTTTCTTATATCAAACACCACTTTCACACTCTTTTCCATGAGTTTCAAAATTGGTAAGCAAAGATGTGCTTCTTTACATCATAACTTCACTGCTTGATTTCAAAATTTCCACTGCAGCACTAAATTTACCGTTGTTAACAAGTAATTGGAAATAATGGTTAAAGAGTTCAAGGATTCTAGATGCTTTGTGTTCTCACCACATTGGGCGGCAGCTTGTGTCCCGGCAAGTATTTTACATTCTCGTGTTCGGTGTTGATGATTTCGGTGAGCTTGCGTCCGTTGACCATCTCCTCAAACACCCACATGTTCACTGTGTTTTCAAACGTGTTGTATTTTGCTGCATTGGCGCCCACTATCTTGGCAATGGCAGAACCCCTGAGGAAATGAAAGAACTTTGACATTACTGACAAACTGTAATGGATAAACAGCAGCCAATACTGCTGCTGGATTAAGTAATGACAGCTGCACATCTACTGAGGGCTTAATTAGCAGAAGAACTAGAAGAGAACTTCATTACTGTGACACACGTTCTCTAAACTACAAGTTGGCTCCTGACTTTGTTGCAACTGGGAAGAGGTGCTGAAGTGGTAAACATTGTCGCATTTACCACTGGTTTTTGGTAAGTACTATACTATAGTGTTATTTGAAGATATTAAAACATTATGCAACTCTTAAAATTGTGTCTGCAATCATAAACAAATACTTCTAAATATAAACGTAATAATCCTCTAACACTGGAAGCATGAAACATGCGATTAAGACACTAATTATGGCTGATAATAATAATCTAGTTCATTACAGCTTTGCTTCAGTATCTGCAACACCATAAAACAGCCTGAAGTTTATGGGTCAGAAAGAAAAGATTGCAGCCTATTCTTTTGGTTTAACCCTTTAACTGTCACCCGTCCCACAGAGGGGACGCCTAACTATATTACAATTAAATCCTAATCTAATCATGACAAACGTAATATCGTTGGAAAGGTCTAAGACTCCTAAATAGATATTTTACCAATGTTTTTGTTAAAAATTATGTAGGAAAAGTAATAGATTAATTTATGACAAGAGTGCACCTCAAAAATCTACATCATAACAGGAGTTCTGTTTTTGACCTTTGTCAAAAAAAGTCTTTTTTTGTTGCCTTTTTCTCCATCACACTTTAGAAATCATCAGAAATGATATATCAATTGAAAGCTTTAAATCTCAAAATTCATCCTTTGAACCCCGTTTTAAAATCAAACATTGCATTACCATGAAAATGGCACATCAATATCATGTTACAAAATGTTTTCATTCATGATTTATACAAATGTAAGTTTGGATCGTGCACTTTCACGTCTATGTTCAAAAATGTGTGACAGTTAAAGGGTTAATAAGGATCACTGGACACCTGGGTCAATCATTACTCAGCAAATATTACTTCACCAAGCCAAGCAATGCACATTTGGACATGACACAATAAATGTAATGCATTATATATATCATACAAGAGACTCCTGTGGTAACGGTTCGTCGAAATGTAAGTATGCATGCTATCAATAATAATAATTGTTTATTTGAACAAACAAAACTTTTTTCACTTAAAAAGTACACAAAACATGTTTAGTCAAACTTCAGTTGGCATTTAGGCGTCAAAACTGTGCCTCAGTTTATTACACAGTTAATTGGCAAAGCCAAAAAATGTGACCCTGATAGCACACGTACATCATGGAGACGTATATTTGACGTTTGCATTTACATCTGCAAGACCTATACAAGACGTTGTATCTGCAGTACACTATAGGACGTTTCAGATGTTAACCGTGGCTTGTGTACTGCAAACACATACCAGCTTCATCACTGTGTCTGTCACGCGACTCCTTTCCCCTTTCAGGACTTGAACTGATGATAAAACTAATGACATTATTTACGGTCTTTGCATTTATTTTGAAAGATGAAGCACGCGATTATGGTAAGGGGCGTTACATTTCCGACGAGTGCTAGCAGTGTTCGGCCAATCACAATGCACTGGGTCAGCTGGCCAATCAGAGCAGACTGCGCTTGTCGGAAGGAGGGACTTTGTAGAAAACGAAGCGTTTGAGAGGCGGGGCATAGAGGACCTACAATAATGTACAGTATTTGAAAAATAATGTGTTTTTTGAACATGAAAGCATGTCAACATATTCCGTTACACCAAATAATAATCTTTTAAAAAATGCATCCTATGACCCCTTTAAGAGCACTGATTACACTTTACACCGGGCTGAGCATTGATACAAGATTATCTTTATTATAACACAAGGGCTAATAGAGAAATACAACATTTGGTCCATTAAAGAAAATAAAGAAAAACAAGACTAAGATATAAAAATCAAAACAAATACATGACTTTAGGAAAACAACGAAATATAGTTAAAACTTAAACTACCCAGAATGTTAAAGTCTTTAGCACTTCACTTCTAAATGCTTTGAATTACTCGAGTGGAAGAACCCACTGCAGCATTAAAACACTTGACCTTTTTCCTAGACGTTTTGTGGGTAGCCATGACCAGTTAGTACTTGCAACTGGCAGGTTTTCATATTATTCACATATAGAGTGACAAGTTGACTTTAATAACAAGAATTAATCAAATGAACCAATAAACCATGAATGCATTTCTCTAAATATATCAATATATATATCACAGCGAGGTTAGAGTTGGAAGTACTTTAAAGTCCAGGACAAAGCTTGTGACCAAAAGATCTATAATCAAACAGGTCGATCAGCAGTACATCTAATCTTGTGGACCTAAACGACTATTAAACGGATGAGCTATGAAAAAATCTTATATATCGAGCATTGCAGAAAATGCTAACAAGTGAGCTCACCTTTAATGTCAACAGACTAGTTCAAGGAACTTGCTCCAAATAATTCATCTTCACAGAGCTGAGGTACTACACTATGTCATCATCAGTCATCTATGTTTAACTAGACTAGATCTTCATAAAGTTCATATTATGAGAACATTAAAATATCAAGGACAATATCGATAACTTTAAAAATAAACAATGACCCCTCCAAAAAGTAACTCTTGCTGATTGGTTAATATGGAAAGTGGCGAATGGGCTCCAACATTAGCATGTCTAAGAGCATTCTTGCGGTTTGGAATTTAGTTACATAATTAACAAAATTATCCAACAAAGCCTGTCAGTTTGGTCAGAAATCTACATTTTCCGAAGTCACAGCATCGCCTTGACAAACATTCAGTCACGTGGGAACCTTGAAATATGTAAAAATAAGGATGACAGCAGACAACAGTTTGGCGGAGTCGCAACAAAAATAAGGTAATTATTACAAGTCCAGTCAGTCCTGAGCAAATATACAGATGGAGAAAGACTACAGCTCCGGGCGAAGGTTAAACAGCCTCTTCCGGCTAGCGAACTCAGAACTTAGCAGAAGCACTTATGAACCCTGCAGGTTTTAGAAGACAAAATGGAACTTCCAACATGTGTCCATATAAACATGATATTATCATGGAACTAGGGGTGTGCGATATTGACAAAAAATAATCTCTACATTTTCTGGGATTTTATCGATAACGATAATTATGTGTTATTGTACTGGTACTTTAAGGACTGCCGAAGACAGCTGACTCCTAATGTTTTTAATATTCTTCATATTCTGTGTGGTGGTCAGTTCATACTGATAGAAATTAATATTATCCAATAAGTTTAAACTGATTTTTACATTTGATGGGCATTTTTACCTTTATAAAGCCATTTTTTCGAAAAGTGTCCATTATCTTTTGAGTCAAATTCTTACATTTAATCAGGGAATTAGAATAATAAGACATTTGGGCTGTTACCAAGCAAATGAAATCAACACAGAAGCTGCATCTGAAGTGGCATTTAGATGCATTTACATGCATGTATTTTGTTTAATGCAAGACATGAATGCATTTAACCTGCAATTACAAATGCATAAATAATGTTTTGATATATTAAACATAAAACGTTGAATACTGACATTTGAAATGATTTAAAACTTGAAAACGCATACAAAATATGCATGTTAGAGAACGTACAAATGGTTAACATTGTTTGTGTCATATCAGTCAGAAAAGCAGTTCTGGGCTTTTTTTTTTTTTAGTTAACTTAGTTGTTATTCTTGGCTGAATAATTCTAGAAGGTTTTAAACTGACATTTGAAATGATTTAAAACTTGAAAACGCATACAAAATATGCATGTTAGAGAACGTACAAATGGTTAACATTGTGTCATATCAGTCAGAAAAGCAGTTCTGGGCTTTTTTTTTTTTTTTTTTTAGCTAACTTAGTTGTTATTCTTGGCTGAATAACTCTAGAAGGTTTTAAAAACCCTTTCAAATTAAATATTTACACAGTTTGGATTAAATTAAAGTACAGTCAAATTTTTTAATTAGCATGTTTTTGTGTTTTGGTTTGGTACCAAGAACCGTGGATTTTTACTGGTATTGGTACAGAATACTGAAATTTTGGTACCGTGACAACACTAATATGAAGTGTTTTAGATGCCACTCTCCTTGAAGCATTTGGTCTCACCTTCAAGTCTCTGCACTGAGACTGGAGCCAGTCGTTGATGAAGCCCTGCGGGTCTCTTGCGAAGCTCAACATGAACTCCCTTTGAGTCTTCAGATGGTTAATGGTTTCGATGGTCTCATGGATCTGATGGATCAAGCAAGCATACATGCGGGATCATGATTACCATTATACAACATTTTAATAACACAACAGTTCGTTCTGGTTCACTAGGTTGGATGTGTACTCAATATAAAGTTCTTTATCGAACTTTTGTATAAGAGCAATCACAATCTTGGTTAACATCGTGCAGGCTTTACTGTAGTCTGATATTTCATAAACACAAAATGGCACTATATACAAAAGTCAACCACTGACTGTGAAGGATAGATTTTGACTGTTGCAAACTGGGTCAAAGGGGAATGGTCTTAAGTGCGTTGAAGTTCACAGCACGCTTTAGTCAAATATAAGAAGAAATTAAAAAGTTTATAAACACTAGCGATTGTCCAATATTTCCAATGCCAATATTTTAAAGAGCCTGGATGTTACTATGCAGATATAATATAATATAACATAACATGCAATGTCAGCAAATGAATCACAAATCCACTTTTGGTTGAATGTGGTGCCATATAAACTTTTATAGAGGAATCCAAAGGAACTGAACTTTAACCCACAGCTGATTTGTCTTAGCAATTCCATCAATTCACAATCACTCGAGCTGAAAACCATGATTACATCACGCACGGAGTAACTGTGGCAACAATGTAACCATGGTGAGTCCGGTTGCTATCCCTGAAGTGGTTACTAGACTACTCAAGATTTTCAGCAAACAGAGAGGAATAAAATTAAACATGTCCAGAGCTGACAGAAAGCAGGATGCTTTTTCCTGGACCACTCCCTGGCTTCTTTCCGCAACAAAACCTTTCGAAAACATTCAGACCGGCGTGTTGCCAAGAGTCACTTTGATATGCAGCAGACAAGCCCAGGATATACAACAAAACAACAGTGCAAAGGCAACGATGGCGCTCCCTCTGCAGTGATGTGCTGAGCACTTTGAGGACTGTTTATTCAGCCAGAACAAAGAGGTTTTGGAGGCTTTCGGCCACATACAAAACTTTTGTACCTTGTTGTCAAGGCCTGCGATCTCTTGCTGACTGGCCGTGGACAGCAGGAAAGAGTTCATCTGGGTCTTTAGGGTGTCGTCCACCTCCACGTCTATATCGTAGCATGCCGTCTTCTTCTGGTCATTGGGATCCACGCTGAAATACAAAAGGATGTTTAGATGTTGCATCACAGACAAGGCAGAAACAGCAATTCTGATTGACATCATGTGGTTGACGGTTACCTTATGACATGGTTGATGATGATTGGCTCGGGAGGCATCAGTAGTGCATGCAGCCGTTGAGGAATCTCAGAAAACTTCATCCTCTGGCTTTCAAAGATCTAGAACAATGACAACCAACAATTATTGGATCAGAAAGATCTTGAATGAGAACAGACAATTACTGGGTTTCAAAGATCTTGAACGAGGAGAACTGACAATAGGGCCTTTCGCACCGCGGGAACCTTTTGATAGTACCAGAACTAATTGTGGAACTACCCACTTTTTGGCGTGTTCGCACCTACTCCGGAGCAGGGTCTAACCAGCACAACTGGTACTAATCGTGACGCAAGTAGACATT